CTAAAATTGGTGTGATGTATTGGAATAATGTGTTGTTATTATTTAATTATATTGATAATATTAATGAACATAAGGTTGAGTTAAATTTGAGTTTTAATTAATTTTTTTTTTCGAATTTATATCCAGTCACACCCTTAATACTCCTTAGCTTGTACGCGTACGATTTCTTGATGTCATATATAGATTTCACCACCAAGTCCGCCTATCATGCGCTTGCTCCACCTTCTGAACACCGCCGGAACAACATTTGGCGAGCTATTTGGACATGGGTGGTCCGCAGAGGGCGCGGCAGTTCTTATGGCTCGCGGTCGGGGACTCCCTGCTGACGAGCGTGACTCGGCTCCGCCGCCACCTCGCGTCTAATCCAGCATGCACTGTTTGTTCGGCGGAGAGTGAAACGGTACTACATGCTCTGCGGGATTGTCCTATGGCGACTGCGACGTGGAAACGTCTTTTGGCTCCTTCTCTCTGGCATGAGTTTTTCTCGTTGGACTTGCGGGGGTGGATCGTCAGCAACCTTGTGGGTAGCCTCAGTCGTGCATCTGAGGAATGGGCTTCGTGTTTTGGGGTTGCGGCGTGGCGCCTTTGGAGATGGCGGAACGTGAAATTATTCGAAGGGTCGGATGTTCCTGTGTCTCGAAGCATGGATGAGGTGTTTTCCTTCGTGGATATGGGGCGGCGCCGTTGCTGGAAGTCAGAAGGTGGGAGTGCCGAGGTGTCGTGTTTTACGGTGGATCTCTTGGCAATGCCCGCCTAAGGCGGTAATCAAAGTTAACACTGACGGTTCTTTTAATCCGTCTACCGGGATGGCGAGTGCGGGCGAGGTGCTCCGAGATTATTATGGGAATTGGGTTCAGGGATTTCTTATGAACATTGGGTTTTGTTCGATTGTAGGCGCTGAGCTTTGGGGCCTGTTCCAGGGTTTGTCTTTAGCGTGGGATATTGGTGCCCGACGGGTTATGGCGGAGGTTGATAATCAAAGTATCATGGAGATGGTTCAGAGGGACGATGCTATCGGGCCTCATGGGAGTTTAGTTAGGGGTATCCAAGAACTGCTCCGCCGCTCGTGGGAGATCGATATCAGGCATAGTTATCGGGAAGCCAATATGGTGGCTGATTTTCTGGCGTCGTTGGCAGCATTGGGCCCAGGTGGATCGCTTGGACCGGCCTCTGCCGGGGATGGACGTTTGGTTACATCATGATAGACTCAGCGTGTCTCATTGCCGGTCGATTCTTCCTTAGGCTTCTATAGTCTCCTTTATCGTACCAAAAAAAAAGAGAAAAATTTAATTATTATATTTGTGTAAATGAAAAAAGGCAGAACTAGAAAGAGTTCTATGTATGTGTGTGTATGTTCAAATAAAAATAAGACATAATGTAAGAAGTAAGAGCTCAAATGAAAATGAGACATAATGAAAACAATAAGAATAATTATGTACCATTAGATCCATCTAGTCAACGGTCATGATTAAGTCAAATTTTTATAAGTGACAGTCAAATATGTGGTGACTATCCCTTAAATAGGTGGACATATTGTGGTCAAATGTATATATAAAGGTAAATTGATTCTAACCACTAATGAAGGTTTTTACTAAATCTTTCAAAGGCCTTAAGATTAGCAAATTTTTCCCTAGCATTTCTCATCTATTTTTTGCTGATGATTTTTTAATATTTTGCCAGGCTGATCAATACCATGCTTCTTTGTTGTTGCAGATTCTTAACTCTTATTCTACTGCCTCTGGCCAAGCTGTTAACTTTCATAAGTCTAATATTTTCTTCTCTGTTAATACCCCTGTGCCTGAGCAAAACAAAATTTGCCAAATCTTGAATGGAATTTCTGTGGCCAAAAGCTCTAGATATTTAGGGCTTCCTATGGGTATAGGCAGAAATAAAAAAAGAGACATTTTCTTTTGTTTTAGACTGTGTTATTGCCAGAGTCAAAAATTGGAAAAACATTTTTTTTGAGTGATGCGGGTAGAGAAATCCTTATAAAAACTGTCTTGAGTGCTTTGCCCATTTATGTGATGTCTGTTTTCAAATTGCCTTCAGGCATGTATTCTGATATTTGTAGAGAGATGTCAAAATTCTGGTGGGGTTCTAATGATAATAAAGGTGACAAAATTCATTGGGCAAGCTGGAGTAATATCTCTAAATCTAAGATTGAAGGTGGGATGGGCTTTAGAGATCTATGCATTATGAATGCGGCCCTGCTCTTAAATCAGATTTGGAGAATGCTCACTAAACCCAATATCTTAATGAGCCGAGTGATGAGAGGCAAATTATTGGCATAATCAAAGCTTTTTAAATGTCAAAAAGAGAGACTCTGATTCCTGGTTATGGAAAGGTTGGCTTGACTGCAGGTCCTCCTTAGCTCTTGGGTTAAGGTATCAAGTAGGTGATGGAAACTCTATCAACATTTGGGACTCTCTTTGGATCCCAAACCAAAATGGCTTCAAACCTACTTGCTGCTTTGACTGACAGGATTAAATTTCAAAAAGTCTCTGACTTAATGGTTGCAGGGGAACACAAATGGGACACTGATTTGATTCTTCAGTCATTCACTCCCTCTGATGCAAAACTCATCCTGCAAACCCACATAAGTCATTGCAATTCAAGAGATAGGCTTATATGGCAACCAGACAAGAAACGCCTTTTCACTGTCAAAAATGCCTACCATACAATCCTTCAAGCCAAGCTGAGGGGAAGACACCATGCTGAATCTAGCACTTCCCAGAATGACAAGCATAGGATGTGGCAGAAGGTGTGGAAACTCCAAATCAAGCCAAAAATCAGAAATTTTCTTTGGAGATGTCTTCATGGCTGGATTGCCACAACTGCTGCTCTGAAAAAAAAGGAAGATGGATATTGATGTCAAATGCTGTTGCTGTACTGAAGAAGATGAAACTCTGGAGCACCTCATGTTCCACTACTCAAGAGCTCAAAATGTATGGAAGCTTGCTGGGTTGAGCTGGGAATGCCTGGCTTCAAAGGAAATCACCTTCACTGATTGGTGGTCTCAGCTATGCTGTTTGCAGGACTTAAAGCACAACAAGAACAGAATTTCACTCTCAGTCTATCTCCTGTGGTGGCTATGGAGAACGAGGAACATTTGTATATTTGAGAAAGAAGTGATTTATGAGCAGCAACTAGTTGATAAAGCTAAGATGGAATGGTTGGAATTTGAGGATGTCAATTACGGTCATCTTCTGCTCAAGCCCAGGATTGTAGATTCTTTGTCCTACTCTGATGAGAACCAAGGAATAGGGGAGCAAGCTCTTGCTGCCAGTCTTAATGGCCCTCACTCAGAGTTTAGTGCAATTAAGGGGACAACTTACCAGGCAAATATTGAAGTGGCCTGCTGGACTAAATCTACTAAGACCATGCAACAAAAATCTTCTGATGCATTTCTTCTCGAACTCAGGGCTTGGTTGGAGGAAGGGCTTAGACTAAACCGGGAGAAGATTGTGCTGCATGTAAAAGATAAAGGCCTCTTTCAAACATTGTCTGGAGACTCTCTCGGCCCCTTGGATTGTGCAGTCTTCTTTGAAGATATTAGATTTTTGCTTTCCCTTTTTTTCTTCTTTTTCTCTTGTTTTGGGTTTTTAATGTTGTCTTTTGTTGTTTTGCCTTTCTTCTAGTGTTGTTTGTGTGTGGCCATGTTGGTCCTTTAGGTCTGCTCAGGTTGAGCTTGCCCTTTCATGTCTCGGTTCGTTGTGATATGTTGTGGCCCTTTGGCTGCGCCTATTGTACATTCGATTTTCTATCAATATATTTGATGTTTGTTAAAAAAAAAAAAAAAAGAGTAAGTAAAATCAAGGCCAAACTTTCCTAGGGATTATTCTACAAAATATTATCTATTCAATCTGTCAATCAAACTTTAATTAATTATACTACTCGTATGGATAATCGCTACATTAACTTAACATCTTTCTCGAGCAAACTAAATTGTTTACTAATGGCTATATGTCTCCTCCCGATCTCTAGATGAACAATTGACTCCCCGGGTTCCTAAGATTCTAGTTCTTTCACAAGATTAATTCTATCAACATCTCGATCTATTTAGTCTTCTACATTATTAATTTTTCAATTCTAGCAAGCAAATATCTCTTCTCGGGTCTCAAGTAAATCACAAATATTCATAGATACGGGTTACATATTTACACAATAAATATAAGCACACAAAATTAACAAACGAATGATAGACCTGAATAAATAAGTAAAACTACTTCATAAAATAACATGAGTACTCAAAACCCTAGAATAAAAAAAAAGGTTTAGTTACTAAATATGTGCTCTCAAAATAAATAAATACACAAGTTTAATGATGAAGAAAAAGATAAAATAAAGAACTATTGTTGTCTTTAGTTCCCAATCTTCAACCATCCTTCATATCCCTCCTGCGTCTTGAGCTTTTTCTTGGTCTCCAAAAGTGTTAAAAGTCCACTTGATTATGTTTCTTAGGTCCCGCAGTGTGGGACCTAAGTGGACTAAATAGCATTACTCAAACTCCTAATTCTTTTGGGTTGCACTTTACGTCACACGACTTGTATGACTTAATGGTCATAGCCACATGAGTCGTGTTTTTATCAAATTTCACAACATTCCCAGACTTACACGACTCATATGGCTTAATGTCACATATCACACGAGTCATGTGAAAAAAGGCGAAGCTCAATTCAAATTTTCCCTCTGCCACACGACTGTGTGGCTTATGAACCACATCACACGAGTCTTATGACTTCTTGTGCACCTTATCTTTGCCCTTTTTATCCCAATGCCATTTCTAACACTTTTTTCGACATATTTTCTTCAGAAATTAACGGCAAAGAATACTGATGAGGGTTCAACTAACCCTCAGCCCCCCCAGCCCAGGCTAGCCGTGGCCCTGCCTGGTGAGCCCAGTCTAGCCGTGGCCCTGACTGGCTCGTGCCCCGGGGGACCCACCGACTCGAATGAGTCCCACAGTGGACTCATGGCCTTCCACACTGCTCAAGTGTGGTTTTTGCCCTCCCCAGGATTCGAACCTGTGACCCTGAGCATAAGGTCACCAAGCATGCAATGCTACATAATCATACCCTGAATAAAATACCACCTAAAGGGAAAGATGAGACTCCTTACGAAATGTGGAAAAATCGTAAGCCTTCTTATAAATACCTGAAAGTGTGGGGGTGTTTG